GGGAGTTGTTTTTTTTTTTTCCCTATCCCTCCGTTCCCTTGGCTTTCCTCCCTCCAAAGAAAAAGTTCTGTGGCAGTTCTTTGAGCAAAGATTTATTCCCACATAGCTAGGATTTTTTGTTCCCAGTGCCGCCTTGGTGTTGAAGCTTTAGCTCCTGCGTTAGGCGACTCTGGAGGGAGAACTGGCCAATATTGAACAGTGAATTTCATTCTGGGGGAGATCACTGCAGACCAGCTTCAGCCTGAAATGGTGAGGAAGAAGGTTTGATGGTGGAGAGAAAGGATGTTTCCAAATATTCCTAAACTGATAGGAAATTTGTGGAGGAGTGGCGGGAGGAATCCTGGAAAGAGCTCACCTCACCCCCATCCGTGTATTTGCTGCCTTTCCACGCCAAAGGCAGGAGGCTACACCGGCCTCTGTGTAGCTGTTATGCGGTAATCCTTTGCGAGAGACACAGCTGGGTCGTGGTAGGCGAGTGCTACTCCTTGAGAAGAAATATGCGAGATGAGCCAAAGCGATTACTGGAGATTTTGCCTAAAGTACCTGCTGAAGCCTGGGAAGTAGATAGTGCAAGTGTTTGCTCAGCGTGTAGACCGTGTTCACAAGTTGCTGCTATTGCTCACATGTAGCGAGCCCTGGCATTGCACGTTTGGGGAGCCTGCCCTCTCTGGAGATAGTGTATAACCTTTCACATCCAGAGTATTTATTTGGTGTAAGAGGGAAGCCTGATAACAAGCTAAAAGCCGTAGCCAAATATCTATTTGGTTAGAGAATAGCAGCCGGATTGTTTCCAAGAATAACAATACGTCTTTGATATACCCCCAATGAAAGCAGTTACTATAACCGGCTTACTCATGAGTAGGTGACCGAAATCCGTTTACTTCCTCACCAAAACAATTAGTGTCTCGAACTCCATATTTTCTGTTTTAGAATGAATACATCAATGAGAGTATTTTCAAAGTAAAGTTGAATCTGAGATTTCAATAAATTGCAGTTTCTTCCTTCTGAATTGTCCTTCAAATTATTCCCTAAAACCAAAATAAAATAAAATGAAGTATATAAAGCAACAACCTGGAGCAGAACAGTTAATAACTTGAGACGAATTCTTTCTGTCCTTTCACTCTCTGCATCGGCATACTGCTCTCTGGCGTGGAAGGTCTGCTCAAAAGACCATTCATTTCAAATCGGGGCACAAATCACATTTTACGTATTTATTTAACTGCGCCAGGACAGACCGAGCAAATCCCGCCAACCACCCCCATTGTTACAAGGAGCCTCGGCCCCAGGGAAGCCACCGCTTTTGCCAAATGCTGAACTTGGGACAAAACTGCCAGCATTGCCCCAGCAGCGACCGTAGGAAAGAAGCAGGAGCAGCCTCGGGGGCTGTATCATTCCCAGGAACAAAGGAGGGAATACAGTCGATACATTCCGTAACGTTTACATTCTCCCGCGATTTTTTCTTAATTTTCCCTTAGAAGTAATGACCTGGGCAAAGCACCCCGCTATCTAAAAGACACTGTTATAGACCTTTTAGAAAAACTAAGTCCAAGGCCGAGGTGAACTTCAGGTCACCGCGTCTAACAAATATGAAAATGTCGCCTGGTGAAGGGCACGCCTTGTTATTTAACAAAGACTGTCAATGTGTAAGATTAATAAGAAACAAAATGCACACGGTGTCACTTTTCGGTCACTTTGAAACTTGGGACAGCCTCGCATTCAAGACGGGAAAGCTGGGGCTAAATATATTCAAAATGGTTCAAATCAAATTCAAAACAGGCTGCTAGTGTGATTCTCCCTCCTCCTACCGCTCTCGGTAGAGAATGCCTGGACACGGCGAAAGGTTGACTTGAATTACTATTATTATTTTTATTACTACTGCTATTCTTGCTGTTATTATTTTATCTTTCGGAGTAATTACGTTTTAGCAGCGCATGTGAAGGGTAGCAGGAGTGCTTGCTTGCTTCACAAGAAAAAGGGGGATTCCCTTTCCCCCCCTCTTTGGGTATGTATGAGGCTGCCTCTTCTTGGTGCATGAAAGAAAATTGACTCTCCCTCTCAACTTAATTCCGGTGGGGTCCCCATCTCTTCTTCTGCCAGCCTCAGCCGGGAAACTCTCCCTCCCTTATTAACTGATTAAAGTCTCCTTCGCCAGTGAAATCGAGCCTCTAGTCTTTCTACAAAAAAAGAAAAAAAAAAGAAGAAAATGAAAAAAGTGAGCTGGCCTATTTTTTTCCTCTCCTTTTCTTTCTTTGTGAGCTTAGGATGATGCTACAAGTTTGTTAAAGGGAAGTACAGGGGGGGGAAAAAGAGGGTTTCTGAGATTGTTTATTACAGCCATAAATCTTGCAGTAAAATGTCGAAATGGCCGTGTGCAAGATAACACTTGGTGGTCTTGGCTGGGTTCTTGTTTATGATAACAAAACCACAAAGACATGGAACAGGCCTTTTGGAGGTCCTGTCTCAGCACATCTTCGCAGGCTAACAGAACCACAAGAAAATAACAGGACTTCATCTGAGCAGCTCAGGTCACCTTGCAGATTTACAGTCGTACAGAAAATTGCATCCTTCTCTCTGTAACCGAGTGCCAGAGCCCCACGGTAGAAAGAGGGACAATGAAACAAGTATACTTTGAGATCTAACTATGGTAAATAATACGAAACAGAGACCGGTTAGCTCGGCCAATATACCGCTGAGCTTACAAACCAAGACACCACTTTTCGTTGCGTTTTACCGTGGCGTGGGAGCACGGCAGCTTGCTAGGGTGCTCTGGCCATGGTGTCTCAGGACTTGTGCCCAGCATAATATTTTTAGGATATTCCCTTGTGCTGGGATATTAGGATATTCATCTGGTGCTGGCCGGCAGGTATTTGTATGTATGTGTCTGTATGTGTGCATGTATCTCTTTATGCCGGGATAATGTTGTCTGCTCGTGGTGGACTTTGGCAATCTTTGGTTTTCTACAGTCATGTGGATGAGAGCTTTATTCTTTTACAACAGGGGTTGCTGTTGGTTTTGTAGGGGTTTTGTTGTTTGGGTTTTTTTCACCGTCAGTCTTTCTCTTTTTCTTTTTTTTTTTTTTTTAATATATATTGATAAATAAAACAATCTCCCGTTTCCTGTCAAATGTGTGTTGTTGAACAGCTATGGCTGTCTCTGTGTGCATGTGTGTAACCGCATTTCCTCTCCATGCAGAGTAAATAGAGAAACTTATCTATTACCCCAGTAAAAGAGTTCCATAGATGTGCTGTTGGAAATGAGTAAGTAAATGTGTTTTAACTCTCTTTACAAATTAGACATTCGATAGGAGGAGGAAATGAGTGATTGTTTAGATAAGCACCCCAGTATACCCAAGTGCTGGAAATGTTCTAACATATTACAAGCCGCCTGCAATGTGCGTGCCTGTGTGTGTATATATAAAATATAAATCGATACGATATGTGCCTTGTTAGATAGAATATATATTCAAATAGAATTTTATTGCATATATCCATTATCTATAAAACTGCAAAAGACAATAATCTGAATTTAAACCAGGCTAACTGTTAATGTAATATCTTTAGGAGGGCAAGATCTAAATCGTGTCGTATTTATGCTTGATATATTAGATGTATTTTAGCATACCAATAGATGAGATTACCCACTCAGCAATTATATTCTCAAAGGGTGCGGTAAATATTTCTGTGTGTTTAGATGCTTTCCTGAAAAGGACGGGGAGAAAAATTCCCAAAAGTTAACTTCTAACGTTGTATGTACCAGACTAGCTGATGTGCAATAAGTACTTTTTTCCCTTAGAATAAGAGCGTAATTAATTTAACCATCAAATTTCAATTACCTAAGGTCAAGGCAATTGCCTTTTTCCCCTCTGAGCTGCAAATATCGTTAACAATCTCAATTTTAGGCACGCAGAAGTGCCCCAGTGCCCTCTCCCCTCCACGCCAAGGTTTTCAGGTTCCTTCTGAGAAGGCACTAGCTATTTCACTTGGAATAGAAAATTAAGAAATAAGGCCAGGACGAGGCATACTAAAACGACGGACTTAAATTCGTGGTTTGGAAACCGCTCCTCCACGGGGAGGGGTGCTCGCAGGGACCCTACCATCGCCGCTGGGAAGTACTTGATGCCGTCGTGTCCGCCTTCCCCTCTCTCCTCTTCCCCCTCTCTTCCCCGATATTTTCAGCCTCGCTACATCCCTCACACCCCGCCAGCCATGCAAGGACTCTCTTCTGCCCCCCCCGCCACCTTCGTACGAACTTTTGCATCTATCCCTCCAGTTAGCACAGCTTCGAAGGTGCAAAGTTTTGGCCCCCGCGCTTCCGGCCGGCCGGCTGCTGTCAGCGGCGACGGGGCACTGGGAGCAGACCCAGCAGTGCTACAGCTGGCCTGTGCCCGGCAGCCGCTGCCGCCCTCTGCCGCGCGCAGCCCCGACTCCAGGCGTTTGGAGCCGAGTTCGTTTAAAAGGATTGTGCAACGCCTTGTGCAATGCCTGCCTCCCTCTGGATCGTGCAGCTGGCTTCCTTGCCCCGCTTCCTACGGTCTCCCGCGGGGAACGGAGAAACAAAAATGTGCCGGGACGAAGAGAGGGGAGAAAGACTGTCAGAGCTGGATTAGTTTTATCTCGTTTGACACCGCCACAGCCGGTCGCGGCCGGGGTCGGAGCAGGGGATGCTGGTGAGGAGCGGCCGCTGGCGTCCGGCAGCCCCCGGCGGGGCGCTCACTTGCCGGCCAGCCGCAGCACGGGGAGGAGGCGCATCAGCGGCCCCCGCGGTGGGTCCGTGGGCTCGGAGCTGCCCAGCGGCTGTTCGCCCTCCTTCCATTTCCTGATCCGGGGTCCGCGGCCCCGCGCGGTAATTGGCGCTGGCGGTCAGGTGGTGGTGGGGTGGCGGGGGGTGAAGAGGGGTGTGTGTGCATTTGGGTGTTGTGTGTGTTGTAAGCGCTCCAGGGGTGGGAAGAGAGGAAGGGAGGGGAGTGCGACTGGGAAAGGGGGGGGGGGGGGGAGCTGGAGGCCCAAACTTTGGTAGCGGCGAGCACTTGACAGCAGCGGGAGGGGGAGAGGGAGGGAGGGGAGAAAGGGGGGGAAGGGGAGGGGCCTCGCCGAGCCCAGAAAAACGACAACGCGAGAAAAATTAGTATTTTTGCACTTCACAAATTAATGACCATGAGTTCGTTTTTGATAAACTCCAACTACATCGAGCCCAAATTCCCTCCCTGCGAGGAGTACACGCAGCACAGCGGCAGCGCCGGCAGCTCCGCCAGCTACCACCCGCACCACCCGCACCCGCATGCCCCGCCGCAGCCTCCGCCGCACCTGCACTCCGCGCACCCGGGCCCAGCGCTGCCCGAGTACTTCCCGCGGCCGCGCAGGGAACCGGGCTACCAGGCTCCTGCAGCGCCGACGGGGTCGGCGGGGCCGCCTCCCGAGGCTCTCTACCCGGCGCAGGGACCCTCCTACCCCCAGGCGCCCTACAGCTACAGCAGCGCCGGCAGCGCCGCCCCGGGCCCCGAGCAGCCGCCCCCGGGCGCCTCGCCGCCGCCGCCCGCCAAGGGCCACCCCGGCCCGGCCCAGCCCCTGCTCCCAGGCCATGCCCTGCAGCGCCGTTGCGAAGCGGCCCCCACCGCCGCGGCCGGCACCGGGCCCGGCTGCCCGCTGCTGTCCGACAAGAGCCTGCCCGGGCTGAAGGGAAAGGAGCCAGTGGTCTACCCCTGGATGAAGAAGATCCATGTGAGCACGGGTGAGTTGCTCTTGCCAGGGGGAGGTGGGGATGCAGAGGAGGGAAGGGGGGAGGGTGCTCCCGGGGCCGGGATGGGTCGTTGCGTGTGTGGCGCTTTTTTTTTATCTTCCTTCTCCCTCCATGTTTCCTAATAAAAAAAAAAAAAGTGAGAAACCTTTTGTATCCGGGGCCCTTTATCAAAAGATTTACGAGACGCCAAACTGTTAGGGCAGTAATTATAGCCCCCATAAATTTAATTGCCCTGCAGTGGCTCTGGGCCATGTGTCTTTGAAGCTTTTCTTCTAACCCAAATGCCCATCACCATTTTTTATTGCTCCTCGATTGTCCCCACTGTCGATAGGCTGAGAAACAATTTTTCTTGCCGTTTATGTATCCTACGTGAACCTGGTGTCAAGTTATTATATAATGATTATGTTCCATCGCTTCCCCCCCCCTTCTCTCCTTTTCTTTCTCCTCCGCGTGTATGTGTATGTTCATGTGCCCGTGTGCGCGCCTGTATGTGCACGTTTCAGTCAATCCCAATTACAACGGAGGGGAGCCCAAGAGGTCTCGCACTGCCTACACCAGACAGCAGGTCCTGGAGCTAGAGAAGGAGTTCCACTTCAACCGCTACCTGACCAGAAGGCGACGCATCGAGATCGCTCACACCCTCTGCCTCTCCGAGCGCCAGGTCAAGATCTGGTTCCAGAACAGGCGCATGAAGTGGAAGAAAGACCATAAACTGCCTAACACAAAGATGCGCTCCTCAAACCAGTCCACACTGAGCCAGCAGTCCAAAGCACAGACACAGGGCCACCCCCACCCGCTCGATGGGGCTACACCCAACGCAGCCGCGCTATAAATACGTGGGTTTTTTTCCCCCTAATATATATATATTTACCTATCTATTGGGGTTTTCCAGCTGCTCCGTGTTGGAGGCTGGTGGTTTGGACCAAACAACTGTATAAAACAAAACAGGAGCAGGAAAGGAAGACGAGACGTGACCAAGAACGGACACATGTTTAAACCAAAACCCGGACGATTGTCTACATTGTATATAGATAATGGTTCCATGCCCATCATTTTATTCTATTTATGGAAACGCTCCCTTGCCCTCGGTGTAAGAGAGGGCTGGATGCTGTCACGGACGAATTCTCTGTACCTAAGATGGACTCTTTTTTTTCCTTTTTTTTTTTTTTTTTTTTTAAGAGAACACTTTACGAATAAAAGACTGTTAAAACAAAGACCTCGTGAGACACTTGTGTGAGGCATTGACTCGAATAGCGCTGTTTTGTGGCGTGTTCGTGGGTTCCCGTGTGCGGGTGTGTGAGTGTGCACACGCACTTATACACACACCCTGACACAGGAGAGAGAACGAACACAGCCATGGAAGGTGAAGGACTTACGGAAAATGTCCCCTTATGCTGTCGAAGGGAAATGTTTTATGTATCAAAGGTAACTTAACTGGGTTTAAGTGTATCTCCCGCAGTAGCTGTGATCTTAGTTTTTCTCCACATTCCCTATTGCATTTATTTAAAGAAATATTACTATAAAGGCTGTCGCTGACTTTATATTTTGCACCGTCTAAATCGTTTTGGGTCCATGTACAATTTGTGGATTTTTGGTGTGATGTATAACAGTGCCAAATGCTGGTAATAAAAAATATTCTGTACAAAAGAATTAAACGCTTGAAACACAAGTCCACTCAGTGCTGTTTCATCCACCTTGTGCTTGTGTTGGCACCAGGAATGGAAAACAACGGTTTCACGCATTGTTTTGACCTGGATTCATCTTGTCGATAGGGTAATGGTGTCTTTAAATATGTCCTGACTCCTAATTGCCTGGCCAGGAAAAAGAGCGCTGCAGGACGAGGAAAGGTCTTGCTTCACCGTGTAGGTGAGTGGCGCTGTCTTTAGCGGACTTGGGGGAGAATCAGCCCGGCTGTTCATCGCTGTCCGTGCGACGTCTAGTTTGAGGTGCTTTACAGAGAAACCCTGCTTCTACTGGAGGCCAGCAAGCTCTCATTACGGGTTTTGCTGGAGAAGTCACACATGCTCCTCACGATAACACTTTAAATCTTTAGCCAGCCGTAATTTATTCGCTCATTTTCACCCGATTATGATTTCTCAACTGACCAGCACTTTGGAAGGGAAAAACATGGGCGGTAACTTAGTTTCTCTAAGCTTTTCTGTTTCCTTCTTATTTTCTTTCAAAGACTATTTCAAAATGTGTTGAGAAAGCCTCGGCACAAACATAAATTTGGGTACAACTCAAGAGGTTTATTTGACTGAAATGGTTGAAACAGCTGTGGCAAAATGGGGTTCCAGTGGCTCCAGCTCAGGCTTCGCATCTTGCTGCTTCCAGGCAGCTAAGGAGGGCAGGCAAAGCGGAGCTGGTAATGGGGAGCCTTGCTCAGGGCTTCCTCAATGAAGAGTGGCACTGAATCGGGTAAGAAAAGGCTTAGAAAAGAGCTCAAGTGTTAGTAAATCTTCTAGGGAAGGCCTGAAGGCCATGACTGAGTTACACAAATGCATTCAAGAGCGGGATTTTTTGAATCAGTGCTTCTCTTCGGGTGAGTGGGGCTGCCAGAACCAGGTGCATCATCACCCTTGGGTGAAGTAGCACCAGGCCTCAAGGGTATTGCCAGCATCCCTGCCTGGTCATGGAACAGGGGTCGTCCTGGAGGAAAATGTAACATGCCACTGGCAAACCACGTTCAGCATCAGAGAGATGGCAGTTGTAAAATGCCCTCAGCAAACACCCCTGTCTCCAAACATGACCAAGGAGCAGGCCTGGAAAATGTGCTTCCACTCTCATATTGATGTTTATTAAACCTTGAATTGCCAGCTGCCTCCTTATAGAGGGAGAAAAATATAGTTGCGAAGTAACTATCTGCAAGCATGTAACACTTCGTTTTGTTTATTGCTTAAGAATCTCTCAATATATTTACAGCCAAAATTAGGCCAACCGAGCAAAATTCGAGCTGAAATATATTAACTGGCGATCCAGGATTTCTTTAGTGTGCAGTCTATGCGTATAAACCTGGTTTGCTTCCATTGTAAAAAGAAATGAAATCACACTGCAAATAGCAATTTTAGAGAGAATCATTAATCACCTCCTACAATAAATACTTCTTTGTAATTCAACAGCGGTTCTGAAAGGCATTCTCTTGGAAAAGTCTGTGAAGATGCAAAGGATTTCCCTGGAAAAAAAAAAAAAAAAAAAAGGTGGTCATGTGTAAAGACACAGCATCTTGGCTGTCTGCTAAAAAAATGTACACTCTTGCTGGAGATTGAACTGCGGACTGCAAAATACCCCATGGCAGATTATCATCGTTTAAGGTAAATTTTCCTCTTTCTCCCTCTTCCCCCTCTGCCTGCCCTGGGAGCGGGAGCTGCTCCCGGTCTGGGAGCCCTGTGTTCCCCGTCCCATACCGCCCGTCTTTACAATAACTTCCAAAATTACACCGTCCAGTTTAAATTCTCGCATTGTGCTCCCTTTGCTAAGGCAACCGGGAGTTCATCGAGAGGACAAATTTTCTATCCCATTAATTGTTTTTTTTAGAGGAGCAGACTGACCCTTCAAACCCTTGACCTTTAAAGGCAGTATTCTTTTTAATCCGGCACTTGGACCTAAATGTCTCTTCGCCCCCCTCCCTCTCTCCCGCTCTCCCGGTGTCTCTTACACACGAATTTATCTGCCCTGGCCACAAAGGCGAGAGCGGCCCAAAACGCTGAAGTTTGTCAATCTTTCAAAGAAAGACCAGATCACCTCAGAGTCAATTCAGGGGCCGCAGGGAACGGCACGCCGGTAACCCCGGTACCCACTTCTCCTCCCTCCCCCCCCCAGGAAAAATGCTCCTTCTCCAAGATCCTACTCCCTGCTTTTCCTGCAAGATCTTGCTGTACCTGGATTTTTATTGCACAGGAAACTCAGCTGTGAGAAGCACCTTGTTATATTTAACAGCTAGAGCCATCCTGCATTGGAGGATTACGCAATGCTGGGATTTTTTTTTTTTTTCGTTTTCCTTTTATTTTTTTTCTTTCTCTTTTTTTTTTTTTCCCTTCAGGGTGCTTGCCTTCCCTTGGCCTTCTTGCCCAGTGTTTGTAAACGAGGAAGGGGTAGGGGAAGCTCTCATACAAGCAGACGTCTTGACAGGCATGCCAAGAAAATCCAGCCCCTTCCGTGTCCCCCTTGCCCCTGCTGGTGCCCGATCCGGGCAGCCCCGGGCCCGCCTGCCGTTCCCACACCTCCGCCGGAGCCCAGGCGGGCGGCGCGGCCCCTGGAGCCCCGCGCCACTGTAGAGGCTCTCCCAGGGTCCGGAGGCTCCCGGCCTGGCCGTGCCTTGACGTGTGGGGTGGGGGTCACCAGGGGGCCATCCACTCGAGCGCCTGGGTCCGGCCCACACGGGTCCCAGTGGGGTCGGGGCTCTCCCCGTGAGCAGGGGAAACTCCGTAGCTACCTCCGAAGGCCCCAGTATCCACCCCGCTTCGCCTGGGCCCGCGGACGGGCCGTCCTGACCGGCGGAGGGCAGCCCCTGGTGCTACCTGCCAGCAGCGTTTACAGCCCAGGTCCTGCAGACAGTAACGATCTGGGCTGAACTGGCTAATTTGGGAGACAAACGGGGTGCAAACCTGCCCCATCCCGCTGCACAGAGCGGGACAAACCCATGTTACTAATGCCCAAGGGCTCTCCTTAGAAACTGAGGAGCTGTCAAAACAGGAAAGATTAGGAGACCCAAGTACAAGGATCTCTGCACTCGCAGATTAAGGTGTTGCGTCTGTTCTGGTGGAGATATTGAAATTTTAATCTTCAGGATCACGTGACTCATTAAATAATTAATGCGGCTAGTCAGGAATGGATCTGTGGCCATCAGTCCTCACTAGGAGTGATTCTCTCAGAAGTGAAACTCAATTCCTTATTACTGGAGTTTGTTTTTCTTATTTTTTTTCCTTTTCTTTTCCCTTAAAAAAAAAAAAAACCAAACAAAAAACCCACCTGATTTATCTTGAAAGATTCTAAACTTCTTAAGCAAGCAATAGGGTCTGTGTTGGTAAGTAGGTAGTGTGTATTTCTAGCTTGATGACTTTAATTGTTTGTGCTTGCTTTGTCTGCTGAGCATTTGCTTAACAAGTTTAATATTTAGAAATGTTAAATCTTTGTTTTAGCTGCCTTGTGGTCACATTACGGCTTTTGGTGATTAAGTGTTACCGAGGCAAACACATTTGATAATGTTCTAATTCACAGTGTGGAAGGCTGGGTGCCACAGTGCAGTAGGACCTGCTTTGTTCAATTTTCCTGGCGTTAATAAATCACCGGCTCCTAATGCAGGGCCAAAAAAGCAATGGAAAGGCAGTGAGCATTGTACAGGAAAAGTCATGGGCGAATTTCTCTATGACTCATTAGTCTGAACGATTTATGTACGGACTTAAAGTGCCGCAATGAGTATTAGAGTTTGGGATAACAACAAATTTAAAAAAAAAAAAAAAAAAGGAAAAAGCGTCATAGCGTTTGTAAAGTGCTTTACTGCTACTTAGCAACTCTTTCAAGGAGCAGCATAGTATAAGGGGCTGTGGCGCTGTAAAATATGGTAGCGTGACTTCCTCGCTCCAAAATAAATAACAGAAAGTCGCTGGCACCACTTTGAGATACACACTTCATCTTTAACATGAGTGGGGCAACCCAGTCACGACACGCTTGATAGATGGTTATTGCCGTTTGTAACATGCCTATTGATTAGGGATCAAAACGACTAAGGTATGAGCCTAAGCATAAAATGCCAGGGGGATCCTCCTGTGCCGGAGCCGAGTGGGGCGGAAGGTAGAGCTCAGAACAACCCTGGGCAGCACCGCCAGGGCTCTGAGATCACAGACTGAATTTGCCATTTTATTTTGTGTTTGCCAGTAGATTTTAACAGTCAGCGCTCTCAAATTTATGAGACGGCAATAAACAGCTTAGTAGGCTATTATGGCATGATTTTATGTAGACTGGAGTTCAACACCAAATTTAAAATTATTAGCGTAATTACGGAACTACTAAATTACCAAAGCAAAATCTCTGCTCGAAAAGTTCTCCCAAGACAGAGTTAATAATTCCAAGGCTCAGATGACACCCTTCCGCAAGAGCGGCGTTATTAAATTATTAGCATTTACATTTACTGACAATTTTAAGATGCGTTAGGCGGCTTTTATTAGCGAGAATGAATACGAAGGGGACATTATTATATCTGACAAATTCCGATGTAAACGTGATTCAGTAAGTGGCATGCGAATAATCTGACTATTGTCTTTTTGGAATGTGCAATATTTTTTATTTTAGGGGAAGAGAAGCCGTTCACTTTTTTCCCTCTTTCAATGGTTTTCAGTCTGTCAAAAAAAAAAAGGGGGGGGGGGGCTTTGGGCCCTATCCTGCCTCAGTGAGGAATTTTTTCAATTTTTAGGCTTTTCTTAGTGGTGGCAGGATCGGGCCCTGCTAACCGTTTGAATAAAAGCCCAACCACAATACGCCCCGCATTTAAACTGGAACACTTTCCGCGTTTTATTCAGCAGAGATGAACGCCACGACTTGTGTTTAATGTCTGTTCTTGATTAAATGATCCTAAACAAAGGTTTCCCAGAGGAAAATAAAGCAGACATTCATGTAACAAGAGTTTGGAATGACAATATTTCCAAACACTTGGAGACAGAAGGCATAGCTGTCTACGGGGAGGGAAAAGAAAAAAAAAAAGGAAGAAAAAAAAACCACACCATCCGCACGCTTTTATTTCTCAGCTCCCCGTGCTCTTCACCCGGGTGGGAACCCACGTAAGCTCCGCGCCAGGAGCCCACTCCTGCTCCTCCATCCCTGTCTGTCCCGCTCTGCAGCTCTCCCAGCGTACCCGGCAAAGCATGTATTGCCTATGAAGGAGCAAAACACCTCCCCCTGCACTCCCCGGTAAGGCACTGTTTGTTGCTTGTTTACAGGGAGCCCCGAAAAAGAGCCGCTGGGCTGGGGCGGTGGAAACCGGGAGCGCTCCCGAGCGGTTCCGCGCAGCTGGAGGAGGTAAGAGCAGGGAAGTGGCCAGGCTCTGCTTTTGCGCCGATCGCAACTGCAAGCAAGCCATTTGCCTGGTACCTGCATGCAGAACAAGCCTGCTTGAATAAGATTTTGTTGTTGTTGTCGTGATAAATATTTAACCTAGCTGGATTTTTTCTTTTTTTTTCCTTTTCCCTGGATTGGCTCTATTCATCTTCTGAGGGTGGTGAATGCGCGTGTCTGGGCAGACAAAGAAGCGTATGGGACCTGAGTGATCGCCATCCTTATAAAGGCATTGGGGGACAGGAAGGATGCAAAGTCATTTGAAGAGCGAAAGAGGTTGAGAATTTCTTTGTCCATTCTTAGCTCCTTCCCAAATCAAAAGGCATAAAGCGAGGGACAGCGGGCTGGAGCCATGTCTGCGCTGAGTGCCTCGTCGCGGCTTGTCTATTTGCCTCCTCGAAGGTCTCCGTAGCCAGTTCTGCAAACGTGGGGAGTGCATGTGGGGATATTAGAAAACCTGATGTTCTGTCTGAGTGCATGCACCAGAATAAGTTTCGTGAATTCGCCTGGCCCGGCCTGCTTTGCACAGGGCGGATGTTGGTGTTTGGTGGTTCAGAGCTGCTGGAGTGCTTCACATGTGCTGGGTTCTTAGGCAGGAGAAAAGAAATGCTTTTCATAGTGACAATTTTCTTGTGCCGGCTGCCGAGAGGGGAGGATTACACAGAATTAGCTCAAATTCCTGTTAGATTTACCTACTTATTTTTGGACGCTGATGTACAATTAGTATATTTTACTACCTTTTAAAAGCGGTCATAAATTACGGGACTACAAGGGCTCTTTGTGTTGACTTAATGGGCTGCTTAAATCTTAACTACAAAAAGGCTCTGCAAATGTCTATTCACGCTTGTATTTGGAAATTAAAAGCGAAAATACGGCAAGAAGGAACCTTCCACCGGGGGCACGTACCCGCAGCATTGCCTGCAGAGATATTTGGGATTCCTTAACGGACCCAACACTGGCAGACTCAGCTGACTCTGGGCAGAACTTCTCTCATAAGCACAGTTGATAGCTCTGTTCTTTTTATCTGCTTGGAAATGATCAAAGACCAACTTTATCTCTATCAGATGCACAGATGTAGGTAAACAGCTCTGCATCCCAGCAGATTTCAAATCTTTCAAGGAAGCGAGGAAATAAATACTTAGATAGTACAGTGATTCCTATTTCGTCTCCACATGGGATTTACTTCTTAACAACTGGCACGAAAGTAAACTTGAAAGGCTAAAATCTCTAGATCTAATGATATTGAAGGTAACTTTGAATACCATTAATGGTAAAAGCGGCTATTAATGCCAGAGCTGGCACAAAGGATCTCTCTTAATGAAGGCACGTTATGAAGTCAGATCTGTTTGTCGTTACTGAGCGTGGAATTTCAGCTCAGCTCGAAACCATGTGTATAAAGCACAGAAAAATCAGTAGCAGACCTACTGACAAACTCCACTTTTTTTTTTTTTTCTGCTAGAAACCATGCTTCAGGTCTCCGAATTATCGAGGTAATAAAACACAATGTTGAATGTCCAGGAACAGGAACAAAGCAATATATGGGGTGGCAGGGGAATTCTAGCTCCTGCGACTCGCAAGATCATTTGATTTTGTATTTGGAAACTCGTAATCGCGATACTAGAGCAAAGCAAGCTTTCTCCAAAATCGGCGGAAGAGAATAATTTTCAGCTGCTATCCAGGACAACATAAAGTTAGGCAGACTCCCCCTTCCGCCCTCACAAAGCACACCCTGTGGAAGGTATTCACACGTCAAGAAGTTACTTTTCTTAAGAATTAATTAGTTTTCCCACTACATACACGAAGTTAATTGTTAAACAGTAGTTTTAGGATTAACTTGGCCATTAATACTAATAAAGATGTTCATAGAAACAGGGTTTTGAAGCCAACAGCCACAGCTAGCGTTAAGGCATTTAAGCTGACTTATGATTGTGATTTATTGCTTTTGTAGTTTCTATTTGCTCAGGACTGTAACTTCTAAGGCCATCTTTCTACTTTTGACACAAAGCAGTCGATAACTTTTCTGCAACAGCTCCAAGAAAGACTCGCTCTGCTTTTTTCAACATCTACTCCTTTCCCCATTATTTCCAGTTTCATTGTTGCAGAAGAACTTCCCTGTGTGTTTCTTTTATAGAATCTAAGCGCACAGTTTTTAAAAGTGCCGTGAGTCCATTTCGAGTAAATACCAGCCTTGGTTTACAGTAAGTACGAGAGCTGTGGAGGTCCCAGTCGTGCTGATAGCTACAAACTTGGGCATGTTGTGTGTATCAAGTGATCTCTCCTTTTCAAAGGTCTATAAAAGTTTTATTCCAGTTCTTAGTGAGGGATAATAGATGTGTACCCTGCTACTAGTTTAGTCATTTCCATATGAAAAATTGCAAACCCTTCTTCCGCTGTAATGTCACGCTGACTTTGCTGCATTGTCCACTACTACACACTGTTACTGATGGGTTTAAATTCCAGTGGCCCACTTTTACTAGTCAAGCGGGAGTGCCCAAGGTTTGCCCGTAGCACTAAAAATCACCTTTAAAAAGAAAGCTTCCACTTTTCAGTGACGTGCAGGTGAAACAGTATACCCCATACAGTTAGCTGGAAGTTTTCTTTGGGTTCATGGGGGATAGTGGGAAGATTTAGGCAAGGGTATATACATCACGATGCAAAATGCTGGAGTCACAGAACTGGACAAGGAACAAGTTAAAAGCGTGAATTGTCTGATTTTCTTTGACTCCTTCCAGAAAAGTTAGTGAGTTGAGGGTTTATTTTGTTTGTTTAGCTTATTGTGTCAATAGCACAAGTTAAACAGTCCTACAGGGAAGATGTGTGTTTGCACACAGGAGAAGCTGCCTGGCTCGAGGGCCGCATGCAACTTTGCTCTTCTCTTTTTTTTTTTCTTAATTTTTTTCCCCCCCTTAGGCAGAGAGATCCCCTCCCCATTTTTTTTTTTATCGTTAGAAACCTATAATTTTGTGCATCACTCAAACTAGCTGTATAGGAAATGCGTAAGCACAGGTTTAACAGCAAGGTCCCAAAAGGTTTTGCAAAATTCAGAGCCACGCCAGTGAAGGAAGGTGTATTCTTCATAGTGTGTTACAAGGACAAATATCAACTAGCTTCTTAGAAGAGACTCTTTTGGGCCTTTGTCAGGTAATTACAGGTCTTTTTAGTTTCTACAGGAGTCCTGATGTAGCGTGTGGGAGTTGAGCAAGCCCTGTACAATGGCAGGGCTGAGGCGGCTGGGGGTGGGGGGAAGGGTGGTAATCGTCCCACTTAGAAGGGGGCTGGAAATAATACTATTAGGATTTGGGCTTTCTTCGGGGGTTGCAGAGGATACGCGACGTGGAGGAGAGCGGTGGGCCTGGGGAGCAAATGCCGGTTAATTAGGCTAAGTATTAAAGTGCAGCGTAACCCCATATTATATGAAAATTTCCTCTTACCTTCCAATGGGCTTTGTGCAAAGAAATATTGATGTGGGAGGAAAAAGAACCAAACCGCTCTTCCCCCCCCTTCCCAGTCATCAGCATGTCTTGGATTTTTTTTTTTTTTTTCTCCTCCCTTAAAAACTCTCCTTTAACACATTGTGTTGAGGCTTTAGAAAGCAAAGGCTCGCGCTAAGAAACCCTGTTCCTTCAATGATTCCCTATTTCAAATAAAAGGATTTAAGTTGACGTATGACCACGTGAGCACATAATACAGTGCATTATTGTGGCATTTGGAGTGGAGACCCGGGCTGGCTCCGTCTGCGATTACGCTTTTCCAGTTTCTGTTCAGAGCAAGCACTGCTTTCTTCTTTTTTTTTTTTTTTTTTCCCCTTTCCTCCTGCCCCCACCACCGTCCCCGCAAGAGCTGGCCATTTCACTGACAGCTTTCGTTCCTTATGGAAAGGTTATTGTCGAGCCGAGAGGACGAAATGCTTCGTTAGAAAGGATGGATTTTATTTTAAGGTATTTCCGTTGATTGTTCATTTCTGTGGTGAGTTATGGCTGTTCGAGGCAAAGGTCAGTGGCGGAGGCTGGAGGGAGTGCGTGTGTGTGTGTGTGCGTGCGGGTGTGTGGGCACCCGGAGCCGGGCTGCTTCCCTCTTTGTTTCAATTTGCTGCGGTAAATATTCAACTCTCCCCTCACAGGGAGCAGATCAGGGAGAGTTTGCTGCTTTATTTATTTTTCTCCATAGAGATCCCACACTGCTGTTGATGCCCAGCTGCCTCCACTCCAGCCCCTCCATTGCCATCTTATCATTATTTATGACCTGCTAGAGATGGGAAGCCTCTTTTATTGTCGTGTTTGGATGTTTCCCCCGCTTTAATTTTATTTTACTTTTTTATAATTTTATTTGTGTGTTTGTTTATGCATTTATGCACTTGGGGAAGTGAGGGAACACGACTGGGAGGAGTGCTCCTCTGTCGGGGTCGTACTCGAGTGTGGTGGCGGTTGTTCTTTTATGGGGGTTTATTCGGCCGCTGCCGCTCTGTAAATCGATGACTGTGTGATCACGCTGCCATTTTATTTATGATGCTTTGGTGGTACGTTGTTTACCGTGTGCGGAGGGCTGCATGGGTGCTCAGACCTGGGGCAAAGCTTCCCCTTTCAAAAAAAGCCGAGGGGGCTTCTCGTTTTTTCTCCGCTGTGAGAGAGCTGAACCAAGAGCCAGTCATGGCTTCTAACAATAAATCAGCTTTAGAAATGTGGGCTTCTTTTTTCCCCTCTCTCTGAATGGGAATCTGGAAAGAGAGAATAAAAAGGGGAAGAGTGGAAATTATCTTCTAGGAGAATATATGCTAGTTCTAATTTCACATCCATGTCGTCGTTTACATAAATAAAGATATATCCAAAAATGAGGATAAATATGTTAAATATTTGCATACACTTATAAATACGTGTGTGTAGCTATATATAAAGAATGCACTCTACATTTTGAAAATTAAAGAGTACTTGACTAGCCAAGGAGAGCAAAATGATACAGAAAAAAACACATTTCCCCTTTTGTCCCTGCTTGGGGAAGGTCAGAGCTCTGGGGTTCACTTTAGTCACTCCACGTCTCTCACCCATTCCTGCTGTAGCGTTTGGTACCCAGTCACTAGGTGCTTGTAATTACTCATCTTCTGAGGGGTCAAAAAGAGAGGGAGAGGGGAAGGCAAGAGAACTATGATAAAAAACTCCGCTGAAAACAAACCAAAATTAAAGGTTATACCCACCCGGAGCTATTCGCGGCTGTTCTGCAGAGACCTGTTTGGCCTGGTTTCTTGCTTTCCTGCTCTTTAAGCCGCTCTCAGAGCAGAGCTGACCCAAGGAAATGCTTTTTCCCCTTCTCACAATACTGAAACACGTTGTACTTTCTCAGACCCGTCGTCCCTCTTCAGGGAGGGGAGGAGAGCTATTTCGTTCCCAGTTGTGTGTCTAAAAGCCAAGGTTGGCTTTGCCGTGTTTTGAAATGGGCCAAAACATGCCTCAAAAACAAAGTGCAAGCTTTAATTGCAGCTCAATTACTTGGCAGCGTTTCCTCTGATTTATGACCCAGTTCGGATGCATATTGACCCAGTTAAAACACTCATAAATAATACAGTTCTGCTCTAGAGCAAGAGAAGGCAAGAAGAGTTTTGGAGGAGAGAGGGATTTCAGGGAGTTGTGTAAATAATCTCAGCCTTCTAAGCAAATAACAAAGAGCGCGGTGCCATTCTTCAGAGTCAGAGAATAGAAACAATAATTTTGACTAACCACGGCTTGCTTAGATAGTCCAGCCCCTCTCTAAGGTAGCTAATATCATCTCCTAACTCTCTAACTACTTGGACAGGCACCGCTTCTAGAATTGGTTCTCTTTTTTCAGAAACTCCCTACGTTGCTATTTCATCACTGAGAGATCCCCCCAAATCAGTCTTGAATTATGGTGCTCCCTGCTTCCATTTCGGAGCATCCAAGGACAAAGCTCTTTACAGGCACTATTTTATTCGGAAACTAAAAGTAATTACATTAAAAGGGAGGGGGGAAGAGGGGAAGGAAGTCCCGCAGAGTGGAACCCTTCGGGAAGAAAAAGCAGCCAAGTTTTGACCTAGGAAGCAGCCCCAAATGATGCTGGTCCCTCCCCGTGCTGAACCCTATCGGTCTCCGCGGAATGAAGCAGAAAGAAAATATTCGGCCTCTGGGAGTGAAAGACAGATAAAAGCAGCGGGGATCTGCGCGTTGGGACACTTATCCCAACACCATAGGAGACATAAAAAAAAATAATCATCTTCTAATGTTTAAAATTATCTCTTTAGGGAGAGAGAGGGCGTGGGGAAACGGGGCTAATAGGCGAAATCTCGCAAAATACTCTTTGCAGGCAGTGAGACGAATGGAGGAAACACTTCAGTATTCCTATGAACCACTTCGGTTCTCACGATTAAAGTCCCTTGCAAATCCCTTCAATTTTAGAAAGACCCCCTTCCCCCCCTCCCTTCCCCGCTCTTAAATACAGACATGTAGTCACAGTATCCTGCTGGAGTCGGCTCCCAAGTTTAAACACGCTCCCAGGAAAAGGTGGCCCAGGCTCTCGGCAGGCTCCCCACATCGGCGGGTCCCCGGCGGCCGCAGGTTCCTGCAGTCCCGGACTCGCTTTCCCTCTCCAAATCCTCCTTTCCAGTCCGGGGACTCCGTCGGGGCGCAGCTCTGCGGCTCGCTATTTGGTCGGGCAAGTGGGCGACTGGCCGATCAGCAGTTTCAGAAGAAAGTGTGGGGTTGATTATTGACTAAAAAGACTTTTTTTTTTTTCTTCCGATGCAACATTCAAGGGGTTGTTTGAAGCAAAACGCATACGCGGGATTTCTGCCTCTCCTCCTACGCTCCCTGCTTCCCCTTTCATGTGGTGCCTTCTCACTTATGCCATAAGGAGCAAGTGTTTTCTGTTTTAGTGCTCTGTTTACAGCTTTGGTGCATGAAGTCATAAATCTTGCATAGCCATAAATGACAAAAACCATTGGTATGCGTAAGAGGCCACCCCAGCCTTATAGTGCTTTCTATTTCTCGCTTCCCTCTCGCTTTGTTTGTGCTTTAAGATGACGCCGGGCTCCCTCGTGCTTTAACCGCACTACTTATATTTGTAATGCCTTAATTAACGAAGTAACGTCAAATTTACACCTAGGCATTATCCGGAGCCTCCGCTGAATGCACGAAGCCCACAGTCCTGTTACCGCTTGCCAGAGGGGCAGGGGCTGCAACTTTATTTAAGTTCTCGTTTGCACGGTTGCTGCCGTTATTCTGTTGCAGGGAAAAAGGGGGGAATGAACACCACCACCCCCCCCCAAAACCCAGGGCGCTGGAGGAATTGCTGAGCGCCCTTCCCAGCTCTGCCGATGAGCGGGAGGTGAATCTGCTCGGCGCCAGGCCCGCGTCCACGCGGGACTGCTCCCCACTGTTCCCCGCTGCGGGCACCCGGATCGCCTGTGCAGCACGTGTGTGTGTATGTGTGAGCGCTTCTGTGCCCGTCCCGGGAGCTGGGGATATTTGGGGGGGGGGGGGGGGGGGTGTCGAGGGGTGTTTGTATGTACATCTGTGTGCCTGTGCGCTCACGCATGCATGAGTTAATAATTAGTAACTCTAATGATTTCCAGCGTGGCTCTGGAAGCATTGCCCAGAGCGGGGATCCTGGTGGGCTTCGGTTTGCTCTCCCAATCCAGCCCCGGCTCTCCGGGCTTTGCTCTCCTCCCCGGGACTCATCAGGGGCTTTGCGGGGCTCCCGGAGGAGGGGAGCGGCAGAGGAGCTATTTCGCAGACGCCCCCCAAGCCCACCGGTAAGAGGGACAAACCCAAGCCCCCCCCTCGGCAGCACCCCCGGAGCCTGGTGAGAGCGAGCGACCCTTTGTGAGCGCCGTTTGTCTTCATTAGCATAATTTTCCTAGACTTCGGTGACGCCCGGGTGCGGGGGGGCCGCACTCCTTCAGTGCTGCGCTCCTCCGCTCCCTCCCCAGCCCCCGCCCTGCCCCAGGCTTCCCCAGTCGGCAGCCTTTCTTTCTTCCTTCCTTTTTTTTTTTTTCCCTTTCTCCTTTTTACTTATTTTTTTTTTACCCACTCCACTCCCCCCACACCCCCCTTTCTCCTTCCCTTTCTCTCCATCCCTTCCCAGAGAAGCCCTGGGAAACATCCCCATCCTCCGTGCCCCGCTCAGGGGGAGCCCGGCACGCAGGGGACCGGCTCGCAGCAGGGTGGGCAGCCTGGAGCAGGAGGGGAGCAGGGGAGGGTGGTGTCTGGAGGAACCGTCCCCATCCCGTGCGGGGCAGGCTGGGGGGTGCCGGGTGCGGAGAAGCTGAGCCGGTGCCCCCCCCGTGGCCGCAGGGACCGGGCCGTGGCAGGCAGCGCCTGCTCCTGGGGTCGTGTCGGCTCCAAAAAAATTGAAAGGAAAAAAAAAAAAAAGAGAGAGAGGGCGAGGGAGAGAGCGAGCATGCTGGCTTCCGCCTCAGTCGTCAGAAGTTAAGGTAAGCAGGCCACAAATACGCTGCTATCAGTCGTGAATGGCGGAGTTTATGTCCCAGTGATTTATGACCGTAGACTTAAATGTCGGTTCAAGAAGAGTTCACAAGCTGGGGCTTCCTTCCAGGCAGTGACTGATACCCTTACACTTCGTGTTCAGGCAGCTTTCTCTCCTGTCTTCCCCCCCAATCCCCCTGCCCCCCCCCCCCCCCCTTCCTTCTCTCAACTTTGTCTTTATCTTTCAGGAAATCTTTCAGGGGGGCTGCCTGTTTTTTTGTCCTAGAGTCAGAGTTTGGGGCTCGGCTGAGGCTTACAGGGCAAAGATGAGGTGTGCTTGGGAAGGGGGGAGGTGGAGGGAAAGAGATGGGTAGGGAATACCTTAAACGGGGTGCGGGGGAAACGGGGGCACTTGCGTCCCCAAGCAGCTTTCATCTCTGTCTCCAGGCAGAGGGTGGGGGGAGAGAAGTTGGTGAAGGGCCGAGAGGTGTATTGCGCAAGTAGAGATGGATCCTATCAAGTGGGCCCTGCAAAAATTGGGGGCCCATATGTGTTTGTGAGATTTGGCCTTTTGTCTCCGAGGGGAAAGGAGAGCTCTTCCCATCCCGGGCACCGGCTGAGGTGACAGACTCCCCCCCAGGCTCCCCTTCTCCCGTTAGGTCGCTATTATTACAGCGATCCTTGTCGCTCTTAATCCCGCTATTCCCGCTTTCGCCAGGAATGGCCGGGCGCTCCTCAGGTTACCCCTGCTCCTCCAGAACTTTGTAGGAAGTGATTAAGTTGGCGAAGCCAAAGGCGGTAGCTGATGATTTTTTTTATTGCTATTTTTTTTCCCCTCTTGCTGGCAGGCTGCCGAAGCCTCAATAGTATTTTTGCTTTCGGAGCAAGGTTGCCCGTTGTCTGCGGGCAGGAGGCTGAGGGAACAGCGCGTCCCGCGTCCCGCATCCCGGTTCAGTGTTCCCTGCCCTGCTTGCACCGGCAGACTTCCCAGCTGGCAGGGGAGACGAAATATTTGATGTCGCGATCATGAAAGTCAGGGGCCTTTGTAAAATCACTGCTGGCTCATTATTTCCTCTTTCTCCTCTGGTAGTGATGCCTATATTCTCTCTTTTAAAGGAATTGAGAAAAATCACACCAGGCCTCGATAGCATCAGGAAGGAGAGGCGAGGAGCTGGAAATTATGCGCGCTCTTCAGATCTCCATTGCTTTATTAGCTCGATAACATCCAAAGAGCTTGATTAGTGCAATGACAGGGTAGCCGCCCTGCTGTAGGTGTGTTACCTTCACTTTGTTACGATCTAACAAAGGGAATACTGTTTTCTAAGAACTTGTATAACTTGAAAGGCGTAGAATGAGCTCGTTTGGTGCATGTGTTGTGTAAGGTTTTTCGCCCCTAAGCATTTGTCCTCGTTAGATGTTTTGGGGAAAAGTATCCAGCTGGTTAAGTACAGGGAAAGTGGCAAAAGAAACGTGAGCTCTTCTGATCCGAAAAGACGTGGTTGTTTGTCAGCAAGGGGGGGGGGGGGGGGGGGCGGTAAGGAACACACTTTAATTTCTGAGAACGTGAGCGCTTGTGGAAAGAGCTCCTAGATAGGAGACTATGCACAGGTCTCCTCTCTCATGAATGCAGGAGATTCTTTAACTGGTTATTTCCAGGCAGGTGACCTGTAGACTTTAACCTGGTGGGGGAAAAAATAAACAAATCCATAAAGAAAGAAGGACGGGGGACAAAAGAGGAGGGGAGAGAAAGGGATTCGCCCGGGCAGGAAAAGCATTCTCTGGGTTTGTGTCCACCCTCTCCCTAGCCAAGTGACCCTCATACATCAAATTACATAGCAGTTTCCAAGACAGAACCTATTATCGCTAAGTTGGAAGAAAAGTTCAGGCCGTGGTCATGGAGATGAACGCTGGTTTTTCAGGTTCCTGGTGTGTTTTTTTTTTTCCCAATCCATCATGTTTTAACAGGTAGGATCTGGCTGATTCCACGGAAAGTTGGTGTCTTGAAAATAACTGTTGAAAACAAACCCAAACCAACTACCGCCCGAGCGCCCAACCTGCCCAGCTGGCCTGGCCGAGGCGGCTTCGCCCTTCTCTGGGTGCAGCTAGGGCTCCGGCCCCACTCGCTGGTGGGAAGCGGGCGGGCAGCTGCGCGGGGCGGCCCCAGCCGTACTTCGGGGCCGGCCTGGAGCCGTCTCTGCCGGGGTGCGAGACCCGGGCGGCTCGGGGAGGTGTGCAACCGCAGAGGGGAGAAGGCGCTGGCTTTGTTTATTTTACCATCGAGCATTTCATAGCCAAGCCGAAATCTGTCACTTAGGATCGGTGTGTTTAAATATCCCTGGCTAGGAAACCTTTCCACCCCGCTCCTGCCCCCTGGCACATGTAGACAGGAACAATCCCGTGTATTTCTTTGAAGTTGTATGGAGAGCCATAACCTGGAGAGAAAATAAAACAATGCCGGTTACAGGAGAGGGCTTGATCCTAGAACTGGAATGAAGGAACAGCCCATCCCCTTTGCATTACCGATTCCTCGATCACCTTTACCTCAGAGACTGGTACTAAAACAGCCTCTCAGTGATAAACGATCGACCCTCTTGTGCTGTTTCATAAGAAGCAAGAAAATACCCTAGAAAGCCCCTATCCCGGTGCAGCAAAGCACATATTTGTAGCTGCCAGTAAATCCAGGCAGCTTTTATATCGAAATGTTCTGCGCCTGAGGCCAAGTCATGCTGCTAAATATTGCTGACCACTTTTTCTTTTATGGCTTTCATGTCACTTAGCTATTGAAAGTAAGATGGATTTGTACCATTTCTTCACCCTGCTCTGCTCTCCCCACACCCCAGGTCTGCCCGGAGAGGCCATTGGAGGAAGAGCGCCACGTGACAGAGGGGTGCCAATGTTATTCTCCGAGGGTGTCAAGACCCTGTCAGTTTGCGAAATAAATATTGGGAAACAACGAAATGCAAAAAGCGACCTACTACGACAGCTCTGCAATCTATGGTGCCTACCCCTACCAAGGAGCAAATGGTTTCACTTATAATGCGAGTCAGCAGCAATATCCTCCATCTTCATCACTTGTGGAAACTGAGTACCACCGCCCCGCGTGCTCTCTCCAGTCGCCCGGCAGCTCTGTGTCCCACCACAAGGCCAATGACATCAGTGAGACTTGCATGAGGACCCTTCCCAGCCAGCCTCTCCAGCCCCCTGGCCTTGCCGACCCACAGGCCCCACCGCAGCCAGCTCCAGCCCAGCAGGCACAGCCTCCACCTCCATCCTCTGTCTCAACATCTCAAAATGCCAGCAGCAACCCTGCCCCAGCCAATCCCACGAAGAGCACAGCTCTTAACTCGCCCACCATGTCCAAACAGATATTCCCATGGATGAAAGAGTCTCGGCAAAACACAAAGCAGAAAAACAGCAGTTCCAGTTCAGGTATGAAACATGCTCCCCCCTTTCTCTGGGTACCCCTGGGCTGGCCACCCACTCAGCAGGGAGGAGGGCAGCCCTGCTCACCTTTGCTTCAGGGAGGGAAAGGAGGAGGCATTTTTCCTCTCCAAGTTGACCCCCTCAAGCTTGTGGAAAGGGGTTGCCACCACTCACAAGGGGAGCTTAGTGAACAAACCACTCCCTGCAAAGCTTTCCCAGCTTTGCAGGATGGGTCTGAAGTGATTTTGTTTCCTATGGCTAAGCCACTTGTGCCTTCCTGCATCTATCACATTTCTTATGTAATCCCCCCTCTAGTAAATCATCTCAGTGTGGAACAGCCCAGGCCTTAAGCCAGAGGCCTGTCCCAAGTACTTTGTTGGCATGGAGCTCTTAGATTAATAAGACAGTGACCTATCTCTGCTGAAGTGTAACAAGAATAAAATAGCTCATAATCACATGCAGGCAGGATCAATGCCCTGCACGCAGTCAGAACTTCTTCCTATTTTAACAAGCTGATTGGCAAAGTTACAAGCCTTGTAAACAAAAATCATTCCAGAATGCCATGAACTTCAGCCCATAAAATATTATTTGAGGGAGGGAAGTGTATATTAACACGTTTATTACTTGAGGAAACCCAAATCGATAACACCAGTGGTAGCTCCAATGCCTAAGAGTTGGACTTATATTAACCTCTTCCTCCCTTTTCCTTAAATGTGCCTTTAAAATAGAGTTCAAAACTTTAGCAAATGTCTTTGCCAGTCTGCTTTTTAAAGCCCTGGTACCAGTGCTGTTTATAGCCTTCCGTATCATATATTTGTTTTATTAAAAAGCAATAACATGTAAATATGTCTGTGTGCCTATATGCAAGCCTAGCCACTGTATGTTCTATGTATGTCTATCTATGTTCCCAATCACTACCATATGTTTATGCTATATGCTAGATATGACAGAAATGCTATACTGTAAATTTAATGCTTATATGTTGTAATGTTATGTTGTAGATACCTAGCTTTCAGGCATCTGTGGATGATATGTATAGATCAGGCTTTTCAGAGAAAGAGGGCAGCAGGTCTTTACAGCAGTGGAGAACAGCTAGTTCTTGAAGACCCTGATCCCACCACGTGAGCAGAGCCATAGTTTCACCTTCAAAGTTACTAAACTCCACTTGTGTTTCCTTAAACATTTCCTATGCCTTTATGCAAAGCTCAAGATACATTGTATGCTGCCATTCTTAAAAGTCATATAGTGCTGCTAGTGAGGTGAAGGAGGTCTGTTGAGGTTTATAGCTTGGCATGACAGGTCATGCTATAGGGGAGAGTACTCGTTGCATACATGTGCACCCATCTCATGTCCAAGAGCTGGACTCTCCAGGTGCTGGTGTTGTTGGCTATTGTCTGTGGTTCTTGTGTTGGGGTGCACCATGCTGATTGTGTTCTTTGTGTGATTTACATAGGTGAGAGTTGTGCTGGTGATAAAAGCCCTCCAGGGCAAGCCTCCTCTAAGCGAGCCCGTACAGCTTACACAAGTGCCCAGCTGGTAGAACTGGAAAAGGAGTTCCACTTCAATAGGTACCTTTGCAGGCCACGAAGGGTAGAGATGGCTAATTTGCTCAATCTCACGGAAAGACAGATCAAAATCTGGTTTCAGAACCGCAGAATGAAATACAAAAAGGATCAAAAGGGCAAGGGCATGATGACCTCTTCAGGAGGACAGTCCCCAAGCAGAAGCCCCGTCCCTCCAGCTGCTGGGGGATATCTAAACTCTATGCATTCTTTAGTAAACAGTGTCCCTTATGAGCCCCAGTCGCCTCCGCCATTTAACAAGCCTCATCAAAACACCTATGGCATCCCTGCATCGTATACTGCTCCTCTTAATAATTGCCCGCCTCCTCAAAAGAGATACACGGGGACAGCAGCTGTGACACCTGAATATGATACTCATCCTCTTCAAGGTAATGGTTATGGGAATCCACATATACAGGGAAGCCCCGTCTATGTAGGGGGCAACTACGTGGAGACCATGGCCAATTCTGGGCCTTCCATCTTTGGTCTAACTCATCTCCCTCATCCTCCTCCCTCTGCCAACATGGACTACAGCGGGGCTGGGCCAATGGCCAACAATCACCACCATGGACCTTGTGATCCGCACCCAACATACACAGACCTTACCGCTCACCATCCTTCTCAGGGAAGAATTCAGGAAGCACCCAAACTCACCCATCTGTAAGAGACAGGAGTCACTAAGTGGAACACCAAGCCCCCAGCATTTGGAGAGTACTCATCCCTTCCCTTCTCTCTCCTCCCCCTACCATGTGCCCTCCCCTTCTCGTTTCTTTTGTTTGTTTTGGTTGGTTTTGTTTCCTTTGGTAAAAGCGTTTTCTAGTTTATGTGACGTAGCAATATTTGTTGCTTGAATTGCTCTATAGTTTCACTAGTGGATATTTATCTTCTTGAACTGTAGCCTTGTGTCTCACTTTGGGAGTATGCAGAGGCTTTATACTTTACCTTCTACACTTTTATCAAAACAGGGTATATGAACAAATTTTCTATAAAAGGAATTCTTAATGTGAATTTGTTCGTACATGATTGATCCCACGGGGAAGCAATTTTTTTTATTGCACTTCTTTTAAATAGCAAGAAAGACATCAAAAGCGCTTGGACAGGGACTCCCTGGACAATTATTAATACGTGTAAGTCTTTCAATGTGTGTATGCTGGTGAACATTCAGATTTATTTATTTTTTTTTTGCAAACATTGAATAATCTAAGTGTTTAAAATTTTATTTATCCCCATTTGTTCATATTTATATATATATAAAAAATCTGTACCCTGAATATTCAGGAGGTATTTACCAGGCCATATGTTAGATGGCATATTGGCAAGCGTTGGAAGTAGCATTTGAAAGGAAACTATAACTCCTTTTATTAAAAATGGTGATAACGATGATGATGACGATGCAATAAAATCTGGGAAAAAAGATCACGGTTTCAATACTTTATGCTTGTAACATCCAGCTAGGCGGGAAGCGTGTGAAGCTGAAAAGGCTAAATTTGCTTTGAAAGTTATACATTCCTTGCTGCTCACGTTCTGGGAAAAAGAAAAAAAAAAAAAGCAAAACAAAAAAATAAAGTTTTTATTCTGAATAATAAAGAGTTAAGAACATGTTCTTCACAGCACAAGGGAAGGGAGAGCCCTGCATGACATGGGGAGTTGGGAAACTCGTCTGGAAGCTCACACGAGGATCCGTTCACTCACCCGAAGGGCTTCGCGATGCCTTTTCAGCATTTTATAGGCAGGGAGAAGGATGGTTTTTCCCCTTCTTTTTTTCCTTTTCTTTAGGAAAAAAAAAAAAAACAAAACCTTTCTTTTTTTTTTTTTTTTCTCCCTTTCCCAGCGGGGTTTCGCGGCCGCCTCCTCCTGCGCCCGCTGCTCTGTGCCAGCCCGGCGTGGAAAGCAGGCGGGCGCTGATGGCCCCCTCGCCGGGGCTCCGGGGGAGACAGTCCCTGGTGCAGCACGCGGAGCTTCCGCTGGCTCCCCGGCGGGCCTGCCGGCCGGGTATGTGTATCTGTGAATGAAACACAAGGGAACAGAGCTCCGGATAAAGCCCCGCGTGGGTGCTGAAGTGCCGCCGGGCCCCGGGCTCGCCCGCTGCGAAGGAAGGGAGCTGGGCGGCGGAGCCCCCCCAGCCCTTGGGAGGAAAGACGGTGTGGCAGGGCCTCTGCTAAAGGGGATGGATGCCGAGCATCGCTGCCTCCGGACACGACTCCTTCCACTCCCGCAGCCGTTTTGACCCTTTTCTTTAAAGCGGATTTAATTTTTTTCATTTAAATACATATATTTATATTTAATTATTATTTTTCATTCTATTTTGAGGTGATTTCATGTTTGCTGAGCTTCTTCCCTTCCCACCGCAGCCTGGAGCTGTGGGGGAGGGGAGCCTTGTGTTCCCTCTCTTCCCGCGGGGGTGTGCATGCGTGTGGATGTGTGTGCTTGTGTGTGCGTGTCTACGGTGTGTGTGGGAACACGGTATTACACAAGAACGACTGTCCCGGCTCCAAACGGGCACCGGCGGGGGTCCCCTGTCCGAGTCGGCTCGATGTGGAAGGCAGAAACTAGCCAGCGTGTGTTTAAATGCGATTTTTCTTCCTTTCATGCGAAATGTCTGTAATATTTAGATTGAAACTTGAGAGATAAATCAAAATGGAAGTTAATAGACTAGGTAAAATATACCCCTGCACGTATATAAAGACATATTCCTATGCTGTGAGATAATAACACACGCTGCTCACCATCTGTATCATTTAAAGCACAGAAAAAAAATGTCGCCATTTTGGTCTCATGCTGAAATATTATTAATCTTTGGGCTTTATCTTGTTCCCAGAACCATCATTGCCTGATGCTGAAGCCTTGTCATGCATCCATGAATCTATATAGAGCTTTTCTGCATAAATAGATAAAGCATGCTCAGTCAGAGAAAGGGATTGCAAATATATTTATACCGTGCTGTTTATTGTGTATATAGATATGTAACCGTGGAACGAAAGGTTATGTAGTCTGATATTTTTCATTGAAATCTGATTATTACCCAACACAGACCAATGACTGATTATTGTTTTGCAGGCGAAGGAAGCATTTTTGCAACATTGCAAGAAGCTGCTCTTTTCAAATGAGTGCCCGTTATAAAATTCAAGCCGGCCCCCCACCCATCGGAGCAGTTAGGTTAGATACAACAAAAGGTAACAGTACAGCCGGTGATTCTTACTGTGGGGATCCTTTAAAAGCAAGAAGTACGTTTAGGAAAATGTCCAAAAAGAAGGAATTTGGCGTTTTACCCCCTCTCCCCACTCGGAAGAAAATAAAATACAAGCGATTTTGCTCCCTTCTTTACAGAAACCATGTTCAACCGCTTCCCCGGAGCGTAGAGGTTGCAAATGAGAATTTGTATTTTTGCATTTAAGATTCGCCCGATTAAAAGATCCCTCTGGAGGCAGCAGTAATCGATTTGCCCAAGAATTTCGCGTCCTCTTTCCAAAGGTTTTTTGTTCCAGGTGGTTTTTGTATTAGACTGACCAAAAGAAACAAATGTGCAGAATAGAGACACCCACACAGGTTTTACTCACAAAGCCTGGTTATAGTCCAAACCTCTCTCTTTATTTTTTGTCATCCTGCTGTTAATCCCAATATTTTCCAGAGAGTAAAAAAAGAAAAAAATTAAAGAAAAGAAAAGCCTGACCCCGAGGTAGGCACTGAGAAGCAAAATAAAACCGGACTTTTCCCACAAGCAGCCCAGTCCTCTGCCAGCATATTTTAAAAGCAGCTTTTTTCCTTGTTTACTTGCGTTTCTTGCTCTGCCTCTTTTCTCGGCCACATTTGATCTTGGAAAGAGCAAGAAGCTTTAAATGTGTTCTTAAGGGCCAGTAGCTGTCAAACCTTTTGGCGGCCAAGATTGATCGCGCGCAGGCACCACCAGAGCTTTGTTTGGACTAAAAGCAAGAAAATTAAACCCCTTGCATTTTCCAACAGCATCGATATTTGTAAGGCATCCCTTTTGAGGGATTAAATGACAAGTCTCGTTCTATATTTTATTTAAACAAGCAACCAGCAAAAAGCCCATTTAAAGTCTCCCGGCCACTCCCCTCCCCCTCTCTCCAATGCCTTCGCAGATATGCTACATCTTGTGAGTGCATTAACTTAAAACCGATTCTTAAAATGCATTTCGTGCAGGCTGGACGCAGGATGATCCGCTGAGTGCCTGGGGTCTTGTTTTTTCCTTTTTCCCCCCCTCTTCCATTTCCTTCTTCCATCCTTTTTTTTTTTTTTCTTTTAAATTACGAAGACTGTTGCTGACCCCTTTTTGACAGCTCCGAAAATAAAGCGAGGCGGCTCGGCATCGCCCTGGCGATGGTGTCTGGCTCCTGGAGAACACGAAGAGCGGCTCGGAAGCTCCTTCCCTCTCCGGCCCCTGCGTCCCCCACCCCGCCGGGCCCCCCGGCTCCGCGGGAAGGCAAGTCCCATCCGGGCTGCCGGCGGCGGCTGCGACCACAAGATTCATCAGGCTGGTGGCTGTGGCCAGCATTGTCATCGTTCTCCCTCAGCCTGGTCGGAAAACTGTGCCCAAGGCATCCAAATTCGGGAGTTCCCTCGATCTAGCAGGGGCGACAGGAGGCGGCGGCGGCGAGAGCCAAGCGTAGGTGGCGAGTGCCCGTCTCTCAAGTCACAGCCCCGCAGCATTTGCGCTCAGCCTGGCCCGTGAAAACAAACCCGCTACCAGCCCATATATTTCCTGGTAATCGAAAATACTCACCAGAGCCAGCCTACTACGGTTATTAAGCAAATTATGGCAGCAGACGGGAATATCGTTTGCAAGCTAAGGCACAGGATTTGTTTTTTTTTTTAAAGAGGCAACAGCCAGACGAGTTTTCAGACTCGCGATTTGGCTCGCCCAGAGAGGTACTCCTAGGGTTATGTTTTACGGTCCAATCCCTGGAAGCCAACTGGAGATGGAAGTCATGAAGTACAAGGGCTGCTGCCTATGTGACTCTTCCCCTAGAAGCAAGGTTGCTGAGGAAGATCCTGTTAAACAATGGCTCAGCACCGGCGGCCAATTGTTCTCCGTACTGTACACCCGATAGCCACCAAAAACGGAAAAAAAAAAAAAGGAGGAAGAAAAAGGGTAAAAAAGAAAAAACACAAAGAAAGAAAGATAAGAAACAAACAAGAAAAAAAAAAAAGGGAAGAAACCAAAAACCCCACACGGGAAAAAAAGGAGCCCATCGAGACTAGGTCTGGAAGAAGAAACTAGTTTTAGAGGAAGTGCCATTTTTTCCTAGGAAGAAAAAATCAAGACACTCTGCTTCAGAGTCCAGTCTTGGTGCAACTTCTTATGCGGGGGCCTGGCGGTGTCAAAACTTTGAAGATTAATGGATTACTTTGTTAATGACTCAAGGCGTCAGATTGAGGTGCTTAAATGATTTGTGAGGTGCAAAGCGTTTTCCTGACAGTCCCAAACAATGAGAGAAGAGTGTGCGGGTGGAGGCGAGGGAGGCAGCAGGCTGCAGGACAAGCAGCCACACACACACTCACACACACTCGCAGCCTCTCACACAAACATATCCACGCACATGCACCCTTCCCCCCCCCTCCCTTCCCCCCCCCCCCCGATCATTTCAGATTAGGACGCCAAGGGGATAGATACTCGAGATATCATTTCCCACTTTAAAAAAAGTGTAAATAAATCCTTTCTGGCCCCCAATGAGGCGTTCCTTCCCGACTTTTTTGGATCAATCAAACAGACAGTGGCTTCTTTTGATTAAAGCCCAAATTGTCATTGGGCAGAGGCAATCATGTGACAGCCAATTCGGTCCAATTTCAACCTTGTCTCCATGAATTCAATAGTTTAATAGTAGCACGGTCCCCATACGGCTGTAATCAGTGAATTAGAAAAAAAACACCCCACCAGCGATCTTCTATGCTATATTTTTTTCTCCTCTCTCTCCTTTTTCCTGGGCCTTCCCCCCCCCGAGTCCCCTGAATCCGAGCGAACTTTTTCTCCGCGGGGGCTGCCAGTTGAAGGCCATGAATTTCGCATTTGAGCGAGAGATCGGTTTTATCAATAGCCAGCCATCGCTTGCTGAGTGCCTGACATCTTTTCCCCCTGTCGGTGATACATTTCAAAGTTCATCAATCAAGAACTCGACGCTTTCACACTCGACACTGATTCCTCCTCCTTTCGAGCAGACCATCCCCAGCCTGAACCCCGGCAGCCACCCTCGCCACAGCGGCGGCGGTCGCCCCAAGGCGAGCCCCCGCGGCCGCAGCGGCAGCCCGGGCCCCGCCGGCGCCCCGCCGCAGCCGGAGTACCCCTGGATGAAAGAGAAAAAGGCGTCCAAGCGATCCTCGCTGCCGCCCGCCTCGGCCTCCTCCTCAGCCGCCGGACCTGCCTGCCTCAGCCACAAAGGTCAGTCCAAAGACTCGCCGCCGGCCCCGCTGGGCCGCTTTTTTTGGCTCCCCGCATCTCCCTGGCTTCGCGGGGGGACGAGGCGGAGGGGCGGGCGGGCGGGAGGATGGCGCTGGCCGGGCTAGCGGGAAACCCAAACTTTCCCCCAAGTTGCTTAATGCGGGATGATTTATTTGAGTTGGAGCTGACCTCTCTTGTCTCGCCGTCTTAGAGTTAGGATATTTGACAGTAATGAAGAGTGATAGATTGCTCCCGCTTAGCTAAGCAGCTGATGCATTAATTATAAATTGCGGTATGGCTAATATAAAGTTTGCTCTGGTGTGGGGAGGTTGGGTAGCTGGATGCTGTGATTTGGCAGAGGTGGCCGAGGGGCACGCAGCACCAGGCGCTCAGCACTGCAACACAATGGCTTTACTGCATCCAAAGGCGGCCATTTTGTTGCAGTTGCTATTTTATGCTATATGGACATATAGATATAGACACATACGTGCAGAAAGAGCACTTCCCCTCCCCCCCCCCCCCCCCCCCCCCGGGATGCGATGTGCTGGGGTGCTGAAACTCAACCCGTGCATTTATCTGTTTTGTGTGTGCGTGCGTCTGGGTTCACTTTGTCTGCTCTGGCGGTGGTGATTTGGGGTGCGCGTGGTGGTTGTGGTTTTCTTTTTCTTTTTTGTTTTTTATTTTCTTTTTTTTTAACAGACCCCCTTGAAATCCCCGATAGCGGTAGCGGTGGATCTAGGCGGCTGAGGACGGCTTACACCAACACCCAGCTTTTGGAGCTAGAGAAAGAATTTCATTTCAACAAGTATCTCTGTAGACCAAGGAGGGTTGAGATTGCAGCCTTGCTGGATCTGACTGAGAGACAAGTCAAAGTCTGGTTCCAGAACAGGAGGATGAAGCACAAGAGACAGACCCAGTGCAAGGAGAACCAGAACAGCGACGGGAAATTTAAGACCCTAGAGGACCCCGAGAAAACGGTGGAGGAGGAGGAAGAAGAGAAATCCCTCTTCGAGCAAGCCCTCAGCAACGTCTCCGGTGCTCTCTTGGAGAGGGAAGGCTACGTTTTCCAGCAGAATGCCCTCTCCCAGCAGCAGGCACAAAATGCGCACAATGGCGAGTCCCAAACTTTCCCCGTTTCGCCTTTAACGAGCAATGAGAAAAATCTGAAACATTTTCAACATCAGTCACCCACTGTTCAAAACTGCCTCTCAACAATGGCCCAGAACTGTGCAGCTGGCCTGAACAATGACAGTCCTGAGGCCCTAGATGTCACTTCTTTACAGGACTTTAACGTTTTCTCCACAGATTCCTGCCTACAGCTTTCAGATGCAGTTTCCCCCAGTTTGCCAGGATCTCTAGACAGTCCCGTAGATATTTCTGCTGACAGTTTTGACTTTTTTACAGACACACTCACTACGATTGACTTGCAACATCTGAATTACTGAGAAATTAAAGACGTCCTCTCCAAGGGTCCTGCTTTCTCCTCCTTATTCTTCTTCTTTACTTTCTCCCCGTTAATTAATTTTATTTTATTTCCCCCCTTCCCTTTTTCTGGTCAGTATTTTCTGGTTTTTACCTCTCTCTGCTATGCCATTTTGCCGTTTCTTACAAAGTTTTAGTTGCGTTCGTTTCTAACCTAGCCACATTCTAGGTCCTTCTATGAAAGCAATATATGAGGTCTGTAAGAAAGTGATCGTATAGGAATTGTATCTTCACTTTCTTTTTATTTTTGTATTGCATTAGGATGCATTGTCATAAGTATTTTTGGTAGAATAAATTCTTGTTTGCTACAAGGAGCTTCCTCTTTTTTCTTTCTCTTCCATCTTTCTTTCTCTCTCTCCTTTCAAGACTGATAACATGACGGGTATTCCTTCCCATCCCTTGTATTATTAATTTACTAATAATCAAAATTCAGCATCCTGACTGGGAGCTCTCCCTTTTTGCCAATTTAGGACATTTATTAGAGAGGGAAAATAGGTTCACATTCTTTATTGCAAGGGTTTTCACGCGGAATAAAGAACAGAACAAAACAAAACAAAGCAACAAAAAGAAACCAGAGAAACTAAAATCATTCGCAGCTTTGATGGAAACCTCTTCCTTTTAATGTATAAATGTAACATCTTATCTCTGTGAGGATACAAAGCTTGGAAATGCTGAGCTGTAACAAAAGCATGAACGAGCACTTTCTCTTGCAGGGAAAGCACAAGAGAGACTCAGTAGGATAAGCGTCTCCTGCAGAAACTAGCCTGTTACATACAAGAAAAGCATTTTTATTTTTTCTGGGGGGGAGGGGGAATCCTGTTTTTCTAGAAATTAGTGTTTAGCAGCCAGCAAGCTGTTTCAGGAAGCGTATTTTAGAAAATACCAGACCTCACAGAGAAGGGGCTTGGTTACTTCTCACGTGTTGAGCGGTCCAAGAAATCAGCCGTAGAAGGAGAAGAAATTGAGAAGTTAGTGCCTGTAAAATCAAAAGGGTGGCAGAAACACAGGATAAAAAGCGTAGGGAGGAATCAGCCCCTTCAGCCGTCCTTTTGATGAGCAGTACAGGGACACAACAGAAGATACTTTTTTTTTGTTTAAACCTTCTTGCGGGACAAAGGACTGATAACGAAAAGGAGAAACTCTGACTTTAAAGTTGCAATTTCTTTGGGGCTCCCCCCTCTCTGCTGGCGGCAGCAAAGATGGGCTTTCAGAAACCTCCAACAAATTGCCTGCCACCCGGCCAGCGGACTCCAAAACGCAGGGTGAGCCCCGTCCTTCGGGCTAAAACTGAGCAACAGATGCCAACGAGGCTCTGCCGCTCCAGGGCTGGGGGACCCCGGGCGGGTACGATCGCGTCTCCCTGTGTGTGTGTGTGTGTGTGTGTGTGAGTGCGTGTGATTACATTACACGGGCGAGTGAGGTTTGTGGCCGGGGCTCTGCTGTCCGTCTGTGCGAGGAGTGCTTCTCCCAGCCTTACAACACGTTGTGGAGCTGGAATGCGTGGGTTATAGCTGGAAGGGCTGAACGCAGTTCTTCCGAAAGTCATAAATCAAACTCTTTCTATGAATGAGAATGTCATCAAAGAGATCAATTGCAGGAACACATGCACAAATAAAAATCCTCTTACGTATTTGCCGGGGCTGGGGATCCCCGTCTAAAACCATTAAGTGAGAAGGCGTTTAGTCATAAGTCATTTTTATTGCTCTTTTAAAACAACAGCTTGGCTGAGCTGCGGACGCGGCGAAACCTCGGCCCTGCTTCTTCTCCTCTCTGCTCTAGCCCTGTCCCTGCGGAGAGCGAGCAGCCTCATCGGCATTTTAACTCCTCTGCCACTGGGCTAAATTGGACAGCAAAGAGCACGTACGGGCTTGGGGTTTCTTTTGTTCCCAGAGTTCTGCATTCTGGGGGAATTTAAGGGGGAAAAAAAAAAGGGGGGGGGGAAGGAAAAAAAAAAAGAAAATGCGATACGAGATTTAAACTTCTCGCAAACGCTGTTTAAATAAATAGGGAACTCAGAAAACAGGAGTCGCCTCCGAGTCTCCCGGTAAGCTCTGGAGCCACAGCGGGGGCACAATCTCACGGAAAATCCTAAATCGCTGGAATCACTCCCAGTTCTGAGACAGGAAAAGTGGAGCAGAGCCGCAGAGGGGAGCGGAGGTGCCGGGGCAGCCGGCGGGCAAAGGGGAACGGGCTGCACCACCCCCTTTCTGGGCAGCTGATGTTGCCCCCATGCACAGTACAGGCAGCAAACCCCCAAAGCCCCGTCAGAGAGACAATGCAACAAAAGAGACAATGGCACGAAAAAGGGAGAGGGAAAAGGATTTCAGAGGGCTGGACACTGTAAGAGAAGGGCTGTAATTCGGAGGAATTTACAGGTAAAATGTATCTATTTATAGTAAAATATAATTTTCCTTGGCTGGCTGAAAAAGCGCTGAAAAGATACCAGCCTTTTTATTAGTAAACAGTCCCAGTGGCCTGCCTTTTTTCTCCTCCTTACGCAGTATTTATCACAACTGCTTTACAAGAATGAAATAAATGTGTTTATAGCTGTAACCATAGCCAAAATTGGTGCAGTATAATGACATAAATGCCTCTGGAGTGTTATTGCTCTTGTCCTCCACCCTCTGGAGTTTAAGAAACTGAACCTTTCCAGAAGGCTCTTAACCATCTGTGCTCGCGTAGTAAATCAGAACAAATAGAAATACTGAGGGCATACGGGTAGATGCGTGGTGGAGAGAGGAGCCCGCTGACTTTGCCTGGCAGTAGAGAGGCCATGGAGGTGGCATGGGGTAATGGCTGACCTAATGGTGGTAGGAGAGCTTTGCACCTAGGAGAGGATGTTATAGTCTATGTGAGAGGGAGGAGCGTGAGGGTCTGTGTGTATGTGCTCGTGAGCAGGGAGAGGTGGCAGGGCAGAAGAGCCTTTTGGATTTCAAACCAAGCAAGAACTGAGCGTGAGAACAGAAGGATGTAGAAGCCGGCTGGAAATGCACCTGCAGAAATAGAGGGGACAGCCCCTCCTGGGGCTGGTGGCATGGGACATGATTTTCCATCCATCCATCCATCCATCCATCCATCCATCCATCCATCCATCCATCCATCCATCCCAGAGGGTAACGTTTCGCAGGACGCCTCTCTGAAGCCTGTTGGTGCCGTCCTCCCCCCCCTGTAGAAGGCTGGGTGCACCGGGACAGACGGATGCCTCCCCTTTCCTTTTCCGCAGACGTAAACTGAATACATCCCACCTCTCTCCCTCCTTCTTTGCCCACGGACCGTTTAATTTTTAACGTGAGAATGGGGAGGGGTATGGGTTTGAGTCCATGCTCAGCACAGTTCCCAAGGGTCCAGGGGCCGCCTCTGCCACTAGCCATCTGCCACCTCCCGCCAATGCCGGACGGGGTGGCAGAGCGCAGGGACAAAGGGGCCGGGGCGGTGGGCCCTGCACCTCCCGCCGCCCCTCTACCCCTGCTCTGGGCCGCCTCCCGGGCAGCCGGGCTGCGACCCGAGGCACTCCGGGCAGCCTCCCCGCCTCCCGGTCCAAGGGCGGGTGGCAGTGGCACCGCGGGGTCCCAGCAGATGGGCTGCGAAGCCCGCGGGCCCCCGCCCAAACATCCGTCCCCCTGCCCCTGCTCTTCCTCCCCTACCCCAGCGCCGGGCTGGTGCGGGGATTCCGGCAGGGGTGCAGGGGGAGCAAGGATACGAGCCAGGGAGAGGCCGGTAGGCCCGGGAGAGCACAATGGCCGTCAGTCCCAAAAGCGGCTCATTTCCATGTTAATGTCCGCGGCCGCCTGGTGATGCGGCTGGACAAACCCCTTTAACTCTTGGCTTGGCGTCGCGCTGGGTCTGCGGCGGGGCAGGACCAGCGACATCCCTCGGTCCCGTCCTCATCCCATCTCCAATCCCATCTAATCCTCATCCAAATCCTCGGCCCCATTCCTATTCTCCGCTTTATCTTCAACCCCGTCCCTATCTCCTTTCTCATTCTTCGTTCCCATAGCTCTCCACACCCCATTCACAGTTCCATCCCCATCCTCGTTTCCAGGGCTGATGCTCCCAGCGCTGTCCCAGACGCCCTCCTCCCCAGCCTCTCGACGCGTACCGCGGATTCAGCAGCCCCCGCACCCCCGTGGCCCCGGCCGGGAGATGGGGTGGGGGTGTGTGTGCGGCGGAGGTGCCCAGCGCCAGCATGACAGCGCCCACAGCAGGGGATGTGCAGGGACGCCCTGGCTACAGCAGCACTCACCCTGGAGGGGACGGCTGGTGGGCTCCGCGGGCCGGGAGCAGCCTCCGCATCTCTCTTGCCTTCCCCTCTCAGCCGGCGGGCGGGACCCCGGTGGTGGGGGCGACAGCCCAGCCCGGCCCGGCCCCCCCTCTGCCCCTCGGGGGGTGGCCGCCACCGCCCTGCCCCGCGGTGCCGTTCCGTGCAGCGCCGCCGGAGCGCTCAGCTTTTAAATGCCCTCGACGCGGCGATCTATCAGCGCCAGGAGCCGGGAAAGTCCCGCAGGCGCCGCAGCCATTGGCTGCCGCCCCCCACGTGCCTGCCCGCTGCCTGTACCTTCGTGTCATTTTCCTGCCGGCCCCATGGAGGAAGTGGGAAAGTTGGCGCGGCCCCGCCGGACGCTGAAGACCCGGTGGCGGCGTGACAGAGGGACACAGCGAGGATGAGCTCTTTCCTCGAGTACCCCGTCCTCGGTGGCGAGGCGGGGGGCTGCGCCGCCCGCGCCTACCACCCTGACCACGGAATTACAACTTTCCAGCCTTGCGCCGTCAGCGCCGGCAGCTGCAGCGGGGAGGACCGCTTCCTCACGGGCCGCGGGGTGCCCATCAGCCCCCACCGCCACCATCACCACCACCCCTCGGCCCAGCCCGCCGCCTACCAGCACCACGGCGGCCTGGGGGTGTCCTACGCACACCCCGGCTGCGGCCCGACCTACGGCGCGCAGGGCTTCGGACCGGCATACGGCCCATACCCCTTGGGGCAGGACGCGGAGATGGGCGGCGGCTTCCCCCCCTGCGCCCCGGCAGTGTATTCGGGGAGCATATCCTCGTCCTCCGCTGCGCAGCACCCGCACCAGGGCTACGCCGGGGGGCCCGCTCAGTACGTGCCTCCCCACTACGGGCAGGAGCAGCAGAGCCTGTCCCTGGGCACCTACAACCATGCCCTGTCTCCCCTCCACGCTGGCCACCGGGAAAACGCCCGCTCCCCCTCCGCTGAGACCTTGCCACCAGCGCAAACCTTCGACTGGATGAAAGTGAAAAGAAACCCACCCAAAACAGGTCAGTGGCCTGCTGGAGGGCCGGGGCGGGGTCCGCTCCTCTCCTTCTCTCTCTCACTCGGCCGTGGGTGCGGGGGAAACGGCTCGGTGCCCACGGGGTACCGGACAGGTGGGGCGGCCCGCACCTCTGGGAGCAGCCCCTGCCGTCTGCCCACGGCGCTGGCAGCCAGAGCCGCTTATTCCCGACTCCCCCTCTCCGCCTCTCCCGCGGTCATATTTCTTGTAATTCATAAACCACTTATCAAGTTTCCTCTGACACTAGAGGCTGACTCCGCTTTAGCACCTAGCACTCCATCACTCACCCTGCCGGGGCTTCCCCCTTATCCTAAGAAGTTCTTGCTCCCTATCACTTAGCCGGTGTAGACATATTGATTACGTCGCCTATAAATCATTCGCGCTTACTTACCGTTGAATGTCCCCTCGCAGGCAAAGCTGGCGAATACGGCTTCGTGGGGCAGCCCAACACAGTCAGAACTAACTTCACCACCAAGCAGCTCACTGAGCTGGAGAAAGAGTTTCATTTCAACAAGTACCTGACCCGGGCCAGGCGGGTAGAAATCGCTGCCTCCCTCCAGCTCAACGAGACACAGGTGAAGATCTGGTTCCAGAACCGGAGGATGAAGCAAAAGAAGAGGGAGAAAGAGGGGCTTCTGCCCATCTCCCCCGCCACCCCCACGGGCTGCGAGGAGAAGGCAGAGGAGTCGTCGGAGAAGTCCTGCTCCTCGCCCTGCACCGCCTCGCCTGCCTCCTCCGCCGCTTCGGACACACTCGCTGGCTCCAACTGAGACCCGCCGAGCCCCGACGGCCGCCTGACGAGAGGGCCCCGCCAGCGCAGCTCGCTTCCTTTCACCGCCGTTATGTCGGTCTCCCGGTTGGTCCCTTGGTCGGTCGCTCTCCCTGAGAGGTCCCGGCTCCCCCTTCCCCCACCCAGTTCCCCTTTCTCATGCCGTCTAGTCCCGGGGGTACCGGCTCCACCGCCCTCTCGCCTCCCATCGGCCGGCTCCCGGCGCCTCGGTGCCAGGGGTTTTCTCCTCCCAACCCCAGCAACCGTCCCAAACTTTTTCTGCTGGAGGATCTGTGTTGGCACACGAGTCTCCCTCCTTCACTGCAGGGACGGTCCTCCGAGTTTCCCGAAGTGGCAGACAGGTTATCTAGGGTACATAACCTCATGAAGAGATGCACTATTGCAAGTGTTTACACGACTAATAGGACTTTCATCCCCTTAATTTAACGTATTCTTTGTTCGTGTCTATGAGTTTGTTGCTTGTAAATACTTTGTCCGAGAGATTTATCTTTTTACAGATTTTTCTAGAGATGACGTTTCGATTATCAGGTTAAGCAGGGTGAGCACATTTGCCAAACTGGATCCACTTTTATATTGGTAAAGCTGATGACCGTATCAAGTAAACGTCTTAAGCTCAAGCAGATACCTCAAGACAAAAAAGAGTAGCGCTATTTCTTTAAATGTGACAAACAAGGCTTCAATTGCACTAGGTTTTGTAAACCTTACCCAGTGTGCTTGCCCCCTCTTCCCCAAAGCTGTGCTGGATTATGCTCAACCAAAGGGTATAACTGTCCAAAAGACCTCACCTCTTCCTAGTTTCCTACTAACCTTACTTTCGACTCGATGTCTTTTCAACCTACTTGTGAATGTGCCGAATGGCCAAATGAATGTATAATTTCTGTGGTTGGTGTCCAGACCATTGCATGATGCACCGTGCTTTGCTGTACTGCGGGTACACTGAGTTCTATCAGTTGTAGTGTGTGAGCGAAATGTCCTCCTGATTTTCTGTACAATCATGAAAGGCTCTGGGATTCCTCCAGTGATGGAAGCCAGGGCAAGATTTACGGGTCCTTATAATGTCTGTAATAAATATATTCCACTTTCAGGTAGCCCTTGTATGCCTACCTCTGTGTGATGTCAGTGCTGAGTCACAGGATGGGCTCAACTTTGGTTTCCCTTATTTTCCACTGCTGAGGCCTTTCCAAGGGGGAAAGGGAGGAAAAGTCTCCCAGTGTAACTCCTCATGAGTTGTTTTCCCAGGGCCAGAGCTCTGGGTGCCTAGCCTTACTCATAACACAAAGCTTCTTCCTTTTCTATGCTCAATTAACAATATTTTTAGGAAATATCAGGCCCTCCTCTCCTCCTCCATAACTGGGAGGAATTTATGATCCTGTTCTATTTCTGAAGCACAAACACAAGAACTTCCTGGGTCAAGTGCTAACCTTTTCACCTCGGGGTGGATGCTGACACTTATGTAAACAGAGCACCCTTCAAAAGCAGAAACTGTCTTCGGCCAGTCTTTCCTCACATCGAAGGGCCCTCGCCAACGGCTGCACATTCAATTAGCCCGGGCCCTGAGCTGATCCAGCTTCTCCTTCTTGCTGCTCTGTCCTAAGCTCCCAAACATGGTGGCTGGTGGGTGTCAAGCTGGGAGATGTCTCCCAGGTGCTTGGCAGGGTGCCTGTGTTGTTAATCCTGGCCTATTCACCACCACCACTATTTTTTTTTTTTTTTCTCTATGTGTGTGTGTGTTGAGGGGGGTGGTGGTGAAAGTAAGTTTTAGCAGGTAAATATAATTAGATTTCCAAGGGATGTCAAGTGGAGAGCGGGCCGGGTCGGGTCTGGGGCCCATGTGTGGAGAGCAAGCAGGTGGCAGGAGGGACCAGAGAAATGCACAGCTGGCCGGGGGGGATGTCCCTCAAGTCACTGATGCCTCTTGAATTTCAGTGCAAACAAGCGCAGCATCTCCTTCCCTTGGCCCAGCTGCGGAGGAATGGGTGCTCCCTGGCTTCTCCCGGGGCCGAGCTGCACACGCAGGATTTGCTTTGCGGGATCCGCAGAGAGGCAACGAAATTTTCTTCACTTCAGTGTCAAAAGAGACAAGCCCTGTTTTGCAAGGCGCGGCGGCCATATCAAGAGCTGAGCTATCTGCAAAGGAGCAGGGCTGTCTCCAAAGGCTCCAGCCGATGCCCCTATTTCTTTCATTTCCCCGACTGCCATATACTTTACCTTTTGTTTATTAGTGTAAAGCCACAAAGCAAAACAGATGGCTTTCTTCCAGAGACTTGGATGTGTTAAAGTGGCATTTACATGCCAATGAGGGTATTTAAATATCGAAATCTGGATCTAAATATTGCTGGAATCCGGATCTGCAACCCGGCTCCCCTGGTGTTGACTTAATGCGTTAAAAAGAGCGGCCATAAATTATAACCTAAATGCGAGAGACAAGACACTTGTCAGAGCGTCAATCTTGCGGTGAGCGATTCATCGGCAAAGAATCCCTTGTCCTTCCAAGCCCAAACCCCAGGTTATTTTTTTTTTTTTTTTTTTTTTTGGCAGTACCAGATCGATTTCAAACTGTCACCCCAAATTTCCCGATCCTGGCTAATTTTGTTAGCAGTATTATTATTTTGATACGATCAGTCTTTCGGGATGGGGAGTGTGGGAAAGACAAATGAAAATCTCTACCTTGGAGCTTCTACCACAAAGATATCGCTAAATAAATAAATAAATAAATAAATCACAGCTTGCTTTGGCCTGATGGAGAGCCTTCGGGTCGTAGGGATCTTTTTGTTTTCATACCTTTCCAAATTTATTTTAATTTTTCTCTCTGGACTCTCAGCAGGACAAAAAAAAAAACAACAAAACCAACCCCCCCCCCCCCCCTTTCCCCCCCCCAGCAGAGGAAAAAAACCCAACCCAAACCAAGAAACTCCAACCCAAACCGCATCTAAATGTTTAACGGAGTTTAGCATCTTCCTATCATAATTAGGGCCATTTCTGCTGTTCACCTTTAAAGTTTACTTTTGGAGGCTATTGAGATGCTTTGGTGTTTTCCTCTGGGGCAATCAGATTGAAACCGATCAATATTTACTCAGTCTGAAAGGGCTGTTGAAAAGGCAGCTAACAACAAACTGCTTAGCTGCTCTCCCCTCTTTAATCTCAGGTTCACCGAAAGTTCAAGCAGAAATGAATTCGGTGATGGGTCACTTTAGAATAAATCCCAGTAGTTAATCTCACAGCCTTGGTAAAGGCGACAATTAGATTCATCCCTCTCGCTCTCGCTGTCTCCCCGGCAGTGGCAACTTTCCGCTCATTTTTGCCCAGCCGATTTTACTAAATTTTAACCACTTTTCGCTCTTTTGCGGAAACAACGCCCCAGCTTCTCCTCCGCTCCTTGCGGCAGCCGACGCCTGCATAAAGGCTGGTACTCCCGGCGAGCGATACCAGGGGTGCGGGAAACATCCCACCGCAAGGGATCCTCATATACATGGAGGGGTCCAGAGGCAAACGGGGGAACGCTTGGAGAACCCCCCGGCAGAGACGAGGGTGGCTGTGGGAGGCGCTGACGAGGCCGTACTCCCCTCTCCATCTTTGATGGAGAAAGGGTAGAGGGAAAGCTGGGCAAAGCGCAATGGACGTCGCTGCTAATTGCAGGGACTCTTCAAAGGCCAAAGTTCACGCAATCACTGCATAAATGCATGCTTAATAGGGATTTATTAGTACCACTCTAATGGCAGCTCACGTTTGGGCTATAGACTCGAGCGGGTTTTCACCGGCAAATTGCTTCTCATCCCACTCTCAGCGAAGAATTGCCGGGGGACCTCGGGCACGAAAGTCGATGAGCTCCGTGGCCGGCCCCGGGGTAACTCCGACCGGAGCCGTGGCAGAGCCTGGGCAGCCGGGGAGGGCAACCTGGGGAGGCGTAGTCTGTAGTTTTTAGAGGGTCCGTGAGGTTTCTTGAATCGATTCAGAATGTTTTTCCGCATAATCTTAGGAGCAAAATGTCTTGTTTGTTTTTCTTTAGCAGTTAGCTCTGTGAGACAGCAGTAAGTTTGTGACCACAGAAAGGGAATACATAAATAGTGAAATTAATGATATATGGATAAATGGCAATGTAATATTAAAGGTCTTTCTTTTATCTTTCTTTCTTTCTTTCTTTCTTTCTTTCTTTCTTTCTTTCTTTCTTTCTTTCTTTCTTTCTTTCTTTCTTTCTTTCTTTCTTTCTTTCTTTCTTTCTTTCTTTCTTTCTTTCTTTCTTTCTTTCTTTCTTTCTTTCTTTCTTTCTTTCTTTCTTTCTTTCTTTCTTTCTTTCTCTTCCTTTCTTTCTTTCTTTCTTTCTTTCTCTTTCTTTCTTTCTCTTTCTTTCTTTCTTTCTTTCTTTCTTTCTTTCTTTCTTTCTTTCTTTCTCTTTCTTTCTCTCTTTCTTTCTCTCTTTCTTTCTCTCTTTCTTTCTCTCTTTCTCTCTTTCTCTCTTTCTTTCTTTCCTTCTTTCTCTCTTTCCTTCTTTCTCTCTTTCCTTCTTTCTCTCTTTCCTTCTTTCTTTCTTTCTTTCTCTCCTTCCTTCCTTCCTTCCTTCCTTCCTTCCTTCCTTCCTTCCTTCCTTCCTTCCTTCCTTCCTTCCTTCCTTCCTTCCTTCCTTCCTTCCTTCCTTCCTTCCTTCCTTCCTTCCTTCCTTCCTTCCTTCCTTCCTTCCTTCCTTCCTTCCTTCCTTCTTCCCTCCCTCCCTCCCTCCCTCCTTTCTCTCTCTTTCCTCTCTTTCTCTCTCTCCTCCTTTCTCTCCTTCTTTCTTCCTTTACCTTCCTCCTCCTCTCTCTCTTCTTTCTTTCTTCTTACCTTCTTTCTTCTCATCTTTCTTTCTCTCTCACTTTTTCTCTCTTTTTCTCTCCCTTTTCCAAGGCAAACGTTCCTTTTTTTTTTTTTTTTTCCCCAGGCACATTATTCGCCGACTTTCACTATTAACATTACCCTTTCATAGTTTCTGTGTCTTAAAATATTTCAGGTCACAATTAATCCTGTTTCAAGCTCAGAAAGACCATTGGAATCAACGGGAACTCTAGGGAAAATAAGTTTTCCCTTATGCCTAAGAATTTGGGGTGAAACTGTTGATTTTGATCATGTGAGGAGTACTCTTTGCCATGCAACTTTGAAAGGATTACACATTCCAATACTACGAGCAGAGATTGGCCTGGAAAATGCTTCCATGCTAATTTTTTTATAGGGCAGTGACAGGTTTTAAGCATTTGTTCCAAAGGGAGAATGTTTCAGCCATTACTTTTAAAATTATTTTGGCTTCCCAATCTATTTCCCTTGAAAATGTGTATCTCGTAAAGTTAAAACAGGACTACTGATTCTCATAAAAATGTACCCAAATAATGATCTACCTCGATTACAATGAAACCAAGCAGCTAGTTTATGACTTTGCCAAGAGCTCAGTTTATAAATACAAACTCAACGTATTGCAAAAATTCTCCTTGTCCAAGAAAGTAAAAGTAGCAAAAAGAAAACAAACAAACAAAACAAGCCCAAACGAGGGACGGCGAGAGGACACAAAGTCAATCTCAGCCACCAACTCTTGTGTTCACATGGGTCTAAGACGTGGTGTAGCCAGCGGGAAGCGGGGGATTAGGAAAATACAGGGGCTCATGGTGCGTTTCGCTCGCAACAGTTGTTGGAGCGTGTAGGAAGTGTTGGAGCGGTCGGGAGCCGGAGGAGTTGCCCGCTGCCTGCCCGGCGTCCCGGCGCGGCGCAGCGGCTGCTCTTTGCATGCGATACGCCTGGTTTTGCGCATAAGTATTTATACATTTTCTAATTCTAACCTACGCGGGGTTGTAACTCGGCGGGACACTCGCCGCCAGGAGGAAAATAATGAAATAAAACAAAATAATTTTAAAAAGGCAATATGCTATCGATTACTAAAATATAAAAAAGAAATAAATCCAAGGAAATATCTGCTTTGATTGAACTCTTCGCTAACGCGTTTTGTAGGGATCGATTGCATTCGCAGCTGTCCTCTGGTTTGATCTTCGGGAAATGACTAATACGAGGAAAATTCGTTGTGTGCATTGTAATAACAACGAAGCGGGGCTGCGGCCGCCGGGCCGCTCCG